ATCGTGAAGACGAAAAAAGTCGTTGAAACTTGAGTTGAATTAGTTGCAATTAGCGCCTGATTAGGCACCAGAGCACTCGAGCCCAATGTTTTTAGCATCAGTCGCATATGTAAAATATCCTTAAAGAAGTGCTGTTTATTAAAGTCATCTCGTCTTATGGCCACGCAGAAATGCCTTCATTGCCGAATTATTTAATCGCAATTTTAAATCAACATTCAGGATTGGCACAATCTCAGATTTGCGAGGTTTATCTGTAAATTAATACAGACACCATAAAAAAATTATAAAAGTTAATTATCGTCCCTTTGGAAAAAATGCGCTATTTTTTCATGTTATTGCGGGCCGGATTCGGCCCGGGGACCGTAGTTTAGTGACCCCTGGTCTAAACGGTACAAGATATAAACCCTACATAAAATCTCTGTTAGCGTTAATGCAGCAGCAGAAGTCTCACTGACATAGATTGAGAAAAGTAATCAAATCTATTTATCTTGTATAGTGAATATGTCCTCACATGTTCAAAAGGTTTATTATTGTGTAATTTTGCTTTAAAAGTGGCAAAGCATTGTTTTCAATTTTGGTCGTCACGCAGAAGAATTTTGTCGCTAAATTCAACTGATTTTGGCACGCGAGTCGAAAAAGGTTGCCCACCCCTGAATTAGACAAAAGAGGATCCGATAAATGAATCTCTTAGCTTGCTTGTTGAGTAATAAAAACCGGCGAAGCCTATATTTCAAGCCTCTGATAATCTTGGTCGGACTGAACACTCGAACAGGTTTTTAATTGTTAAACAAATGTAAGAAATGTATGCAGAAAGCATCTCAATCAATTTTAAATATGTGTTTTTCTTAACATAATATTTTTTTAAACAGGACGGTTCAGAGAACATTTCTGTGCGTTACATAAGTAACATTCCTTGTCACTAGTTTTCACCTCATTTTAAATGCAAAACTCAATTATTTGATAATTCTAGAATGATAAATATCAGTTTTCAAATGCAAACTGCGAAAAGCCACTGGAATGCTATAAAAACTCGGGATTCCTCAGACTAGAATTGTGTGAAAAAACCAACCTTTTTTTCACATTTTACAAACTTTTTACTTTGAACAAGTCTCTACGCAAACAACCACAATAAGATAAATAGCTACTATATTTTTAAAAAAGGACCAGAAACTTCAAGGTTCAACATTAACTAGCCAAACACAATTTAAAAAAGAATGAATGAAGTTGTGGCCTGTGGGTTTAAATTCAATTTGATTCCTAAATCCAAGTGGCTTCTCTCATGACAAATTATACCTAAGATTCAAACCTTTTCAAATATTGATTTTTTTGTGTATGATATCTCGATAATAAATACTGACAATAAATTATTTAAAGCAAAAAATGGAATTCTTCACATCGAACAAAACAGATATATCATTGTAAAACAGTCAAACAAGCATAAAATACAGCTGAAAGTAACAGTCCGTTTTTAATAGGTTTTATTTAAAACATTTTTTGTTTTGTTTTGCAATTACCGGTACCTAGGTAAAATAGAAGAATGAATTTTAGTTCACTAAATATAACTCAGAACTTAACCAAAATCTGGAAACTCTTTTGTTTATTGTTTACCTTTGTGCATGATATTTTTATTATTATTACAGTGTTTTTCAACCTCATGACTATGGCTTATAGATCTCTAAGATGGTTCAATGAATCCATTTAAAAAAATTATTTTAGGAATTCAAGCAATCAAGTTAATGATTTGACAATTGAGAATCTGAAAAATTTATCCCATCACTGCTTGTAGGGTTGGGGTTGTAGTATGGGATTGATTTTTAGTGAAGATGATCACTTATCTGCCACTATTTTCAAGTTGATGCTTTAACGGCCTAAATAACACGCCACGCTGATGAAAACAATCGTAGATTTTAGCAAAGGGCAATTGCATGCGTTATTGGCGACTTTTTCAGTTTTCAAAAAAAGGGGGGCGGTCGCCCCCCCAATAATTTCGTAAAAAATTTGATACATGTTGTTTCCGCCTTATAAAATTATCACCGATATTATAACCGATATTATAACTGTTTTCTTACAATAATGTGGACCAGAGCGCCTTCGGAGCACCTCACATTTTCGTGAAACATGCGCGCCCGCACGGGTAATACTCCCTCTTCAAACGCACCGCCGACCACGCGCCACGGTTTTGCACAACTAATTCATTTTTGTACAATTTAAAATGATTTTCTCATTGTCAAAATCTTTCAATAGTGTTATTGTTGGCACTTGCGAGAGAAGTGAAGGAAATTAAATCTCGTTGGAACGCTTATTTACGCGCTTTATACCAGCCGTTTTCGATACACGTGTGCCTCTCGCTCAACCATGTTGCGTTGCAAATGAGAGAAAAAAGTTCTCACGATACAGAGCATGCACGCAATCACACGAAGTAGCACTCGGCTCGCTGTACCAGCGATAACAGTCTGTGATTAGTTGCCATACACATGTGTGCTTGTACTGTCTGTGATTGGTTGCCATGCACGTGATCGCTTGTGCGTTCACGCTATGAACAGTCTGTGATTAGTCTTAGATTATCCTCAATAGCAATTTTTAATCCGCAATTTACAAAATTGTGTAAATAAGGCGTCTCCCCTGTCCCTATTAAAAGAGACATAGAACGAAATTAACCGCCGTTATGGGCGATCAAAAGGAAATGTTTTTCGCTGATTCAGGGTCATTCTTTTAAACTTCAACACAATTCCTTCCCCTAATACAAATCACGACGCAATAAAAAGCAACATAGACTTTATTAACATAAATTTACACGTAAGAATCCATCTGCGGCTCTCGCTAACAGACAGAAACGATAAACATGAAAAATGTCATTATTACGATGATATTGTTTTGTTTCTGCGCTTTTCATATTTTTTCAATTCTCAGTTTTGCATAAAGCGCATCAATCCGCTTGATTTAGCCTCTGCACCTCTGGCATATCATATTTCGTAGGATCGGCCTATATGCGAATTTTTATAAATTCACCGTTTCAAGGCCGTTTATAAAAGGGTCGGCTTATATACAAGGTTATACGGCAAAAGTTATTCTTGTGAAAGGCGAGAAAGTGAACTGCATAATATTTCAATCTACTTTACTAAAAGGGGGAATCTGGGCACCACCAAGCAAGTTTTTGATATGATTCATCAGACCAATTATATAGTATAGCCTAAAAAGCCAATTCGATGAACAAATGTCTATCTGTATTTGATTTGAAAAGACTATTTTAGTTATTCAAGCAATTCAGGTAAAAATGTGAAAGCTGAGAATCTGAAAATGTGTTAAATAGATCTTGCTCGTTGGATAATACCTACTGACAAAGCAAAATTTCAAGCCTCCGATTTATTTTTGAAATTGTATTTTTTTTTAAACATTACAAAGTGGATTCATATCTCGCCTTCAACAGGAATCCGACTGTTGTAAGTAACATTCCTTGTCACTATTTTCCACCTCCTTAATTAAATGCAAGACTTAATTATTGGAAAATTGTAGAATGAAAAATATCAGATTTCTATACAAACTATGGAAAGAACTGAAACAGAGATGGCCAATACCGAATAGTTCACTATTTCGAATACATTTGAAATTATTATTTTCGAATATGAAATTTTGAATACCGGTACTTTGAAAATAAAATCAAGTACCGGTAATAGAAGCTTATCTAAGTGTATGAAGGAATTTCCATACAATAAACAATGGAATAACTGCTATCTACAACCTGGCTATATTACCAGGCATTCCATGTTCGCAGATAATTGTGATATATATTTTATATACCACGAGTTATGTTAACAGAATTAAATTAATACGGCAAGGCATTTTAAATAGGCTAGTGATATCGGCGATGGATTTGAATATTTGCGCAACACAAAATCATCCTAGTAAAAGGCCTCCATACTTTTAAATACCAACCATTATCCAAATTGTTTGCCAAAAAGCGGTGACAATTTTTTCGTGAGTACAAAAATACGAATCAAAAATTAATTATATTCAGGAACTTTACCATTGTATGTTCAAGTAATAATACTTTTATTATTTTATAAATACGAAAATAGGAATCAAAACTATTTATAATCGGGTAGTTTCCCACACATTCTAAGTCTACAGAGAGCCGTTGTACTTTGTAAATACGAAAATAGGAATCAAAAATTACTTTTAATCGCGAGTTTGCCACACAATTCATGTCCACAGATTGCCGCGATATTATGCCGGAATATAATTATTCTTTGTTTCTTATTTTCGTACTCGCCTAAAAATTGTCACAAGTCGGAAAAATAATTTATATTTTATCCTGCTTTTTGGGAAATAATTTGGATGATGGTTGCCATTGGTTTGTATTTAAAAGTATGGACTTCTTACTAGGATGATTTTGTGCTGCGCAAAATATTCGAATCCATGACCGATACCACTATTTTAAATGCCTCACCGTGTTAATTTAATTCTATCAACATAACTCAAATGTTGGTAAATCGGGCAGTTTACCACACTTTTTCAAGTCCACAGAAGGCTGTTGTATTTTAGAGTTATAATAGTTTTAATATTTTGTAAATACAAATCCGAAATTAATTATAATTGAGCAGTTTACCAGACATTTCATGTTCACAAATACCCGTGGTATTTGGTATTAATACTTTCATTATTTTATAAATATGGAAATAGGAAATAATGATAATTGGAATGCTCTGTTAAATACCATTTGAGCATTTGGCTATACTAGTGCACTGTGGTGCATCCCTTGGGAACCATTTTTCATTGTCAATTTTACACTTTCATTTTTTGGTGTTCTGCGAGGCGAAATAAAAAGTCTAAGTGCCTCGTGGCCATAAAAGTTTGGGAAACGCTGTCCTAGATCAACTGTTCCTAACCTGTTAACTGTTAAGTTATTCTTGTAAAAGATCTGGATTGTGTGCAATCTCAGCACTTCACTGTATTATAATATGAAAATTTATTGAACAATGTTTCTGTTTTCGGTTCAGGCATACATATGCATCAAAGAAACCGACGACTGGGGGAGATTTGTGCGAGATGAGATGGGAATATCAAGAAAAAAGCAACGCAGAATAATCAGTCAAAGTAGATTGATTGATAAAAAAATCAAAATGGAAATTCTAAAATTCTGGAAAAACAATAATGGTAATCAGAAAGCGTTTTCAAATTGAAATTAGCTGTAGGTTACAAAACATATAAAGGTAGGTGGCTGCTAGTACAGAGCCTTTTCATATGATATTATACACACACACATAAGTTGCACTTAATGGAACTAAAAATTGTGTCAACCTCAGTGCAGTAATCTATTTATTAACATGAAAAATAAAGATAATACTCAGCGCCGCAGGTAGAGAATGCGATGTTCTGAAACCCATTACCTCCCCAAATATAGTTGCTCATTGGTCGCCAAATGGTTCAGTATTGCATATTTAATTCATTGCACATCGGGTTGGGGTTTCAAAACATTGAATCCTCTACCGCAGAGCTAGGGATGCCACATTTGGATTTACGAATCAGATCGATTCGAATCGCATCTTTTCCGAATCGATTCGAACCAGATTTACGTGATTCGGATTAAAAGATTAGACTTTTTTACTTATCTGCCGTCATTTGTTTCAAGTTCGGCACAACACACTCTTTTACGTATCACTCGAGATGATGTGTGGCGTAATTTCCACCAAACTGCGAGTTCAGTTTCCCACTGAAGAGCCTAAGTTTCTATTATGTGCGAATTTAAATGGATCGTATACCTGAAAATTCGTGACAATTTTGATGAAAATTTTCAACAGCACACCTGCGCTGCAACTAAGTTATTGTACGCCCGGGCCTGATTGAATAAGGAATCAGCTACCGACGTCCAGATAATATTTAATTTTGATTGAAATTTAATTTAAACTTTGTTCTGAGTGAAATATTTCGCGTACATTTGAAGAGAACTATTTCTGAATGAGTTCATCGGCCGGCAATGTTAATTGAAAATCATGTTTCTCATTCTAAAAGATATATTTATTTTGTTTGAGTTTGTCAAGCTTCCACTCGAGTGGCGATAAAAGAAATCAGGGGGGCATAATGTGATAGTACATACATGTCTTTTTTCAGCTGTTACAAAAAAAAAGTATTTACTTTCAATTTTGTTAGCGCGATACAAGCGGGAATAAAACACTTCGGATAATTTCTAGCAAATTTCATAACGGACAGGTGGGAGTAAATAATACTTGAGGAATAGCAACTTGTGCACTGTTTTACATCAACATGTGCCAAATTTCATACCAGACCAAGAATACTGTGCGAATGTCGTCTTACTTTAGCCCCAGCGGCCATGTTTGATCGAGATATAGCTTCGACCAATTATCGCTGTCAGCGCGGCGTCCATTATGCACATTTGGACTTTCTGAATTACGAAATTAAACATAGTCCATGATAATAATGAAGCCCGAGTTAGCCAATAACGCTGTTAGCCACAAATAATATTGTCTCTAATATTTATGGAAATTTGTGTTCGCAATCGTAGTCGGGTGAAGGATTGTTTTAATTTAATCGTGGTTAATTTCATCGTCTTCAATCATATTCTTGCAAGCATTTCCCATTTATAGTAATTCAGATGCAATTAAAATGCTTTTGCCGTAACACTCTATGCTGCCAGCATAAATATAGAATATTGTACTAAAATTTTGAAGATAAAGAATCCGTAATAAGGCCGGCCTTAATTCAATATAACAAGAAATGAAATACCACAGTCACACATTATACTGGCGTGGGACTAGGGAAAACAGTGCTGTTACTGTGTTTATGACATAACAGAACAACTGTTCCCTGCTTATTTTCTCATATGAATTTAGTCAAATTGCCTCGGTCCTGATACAAGTATAACACAATAATAACTCCGTATTGTAAGACTCACAGATAAGTTGCAACAGCAAGTTTTCCATCAACGCATTTATTGTTGATATCTATGACCTACATATTTTTTATCATGATGAAAATAAGTGTGGCTTATTCACTGAAAAACCCTTATCATCCTTGCTATATAGCGTATTCCATTTTCGAGTTTTTCTCTTCTAGATTTGAGCTTTTTTGTGATTTTGAGCAAACATACGCATGCAAGAAAAAAAAGCTTAATGAAATCAGATTCGGAAAGATTCGATTCGAAAATTTTTGATTCAAGATTCGATTCGAAAAAAAATGTATCCAGAAGTGGCAACCCAGCACAAATATATGTCATACAATGCCCAAACAATGTAGGTCATCGCACCTAGTTACTAACTTTGCCAATCATTCAAACAAGTAAAGTAAACACAAAGTATTACAGCAAACCAGATTAAATAAGTAAAATTAACATTTCAGCGAAGACTCAAGATAAAGAGTCTCTCAGAGAAGAGCTACTCGAACTTGCGGGGAATTTTATAGGAAGAACAGCAAAAAGTAAGTTTCCCTGCCCTGGCAGACCAGCAACAATAAGTAGAAATAGGGAGTGACTTCCAAAAAACGTAACTGAGAGTAAAAATCTGTACCTGCACAGTGCATAGAAGTAGAATATGCATAACAGAGCAGTTCAGAATTCAGATAATGAACGTTCTAATAAGTGGGTAGGCTTTGAAAATATTTGTGAACGTATGTGTCAATAATGTAGTACAAAAAAGTTTGAATGATATTTTAGCAATGTTAAAGTCAAGTATGGTGAACGTGGGGACATCTCCTATGGCAGTGGTTCCCAAACTTTTCGTTCCTGCTCACCAAATTAATAAATTATCAGGGAAAAATACTCGATGCACTTACAGTCTTACACGAACAAAAAATTGTTGCCTAATTAAAACTCAAGTTTGTGATCGTTGATGTGTACGTACATAATTACTTATCGATTTCAATCGGTAAGTATGTTGATGGGTATTTGTCTGTTTGTCTGTTAGATATTCGATATTCTCCGATATTCTCGTTTAATGTGGGATTAAGGAATAATAAGGGCAAAAGCCAAAAGATCAACTATTCTTCCCCATCTCTGTCCAATTTTCTATTGAAATACCAAAAAACACCATGTTTGCTAAACTCTGCTCAGAAGATAACTAAAAATTGCAGCAAGCAGCGTCTACCGCTATTTTTATGTAACAATATAGGCATACACTATGTAACAGAAAGTATACGAGATTAAAGGTTGATAAATGAATGAATTTATTGATTGATATACACAGCATTTAAAATAAGAAACGATAGAATTTAATAATTTACCATTATAAAAAATAAAATATTCAGTCAGTTATTTTTTTGTTGAACACAATTTTATTAATGTTGTTGGGGTGCGGTCTTACGACATGCTTGTATTTAAAATTATAATGTTTTTTGTATTACAATCTTACTAATATCTCAGTTTTATTGAACTGAAACTGAATTTCAGGTGGTGAATTCAGAAATCGCAACTTCAAGCTCGTCAGTAGCATTGTTGCAGCAGCTATTCCAGACGAAGACTGGTTGGAATTTTCTCGTACAAAATTGAAGCTCAGAGACAAAGATATAGAAAACATCATCGGGAGACATGGAGAGTTCAGTGATGAGTTCAAGTATCAGCTGATCAAGGAATTACAGCAAGAGGTAGGTAGCAAGCAAACTCTACAAAAATTTTGATTTTATTTGTAAAGCAGAGAACTTCATTTTCATAAGAATTTCATTTTGCATAAAAGCATTTTTTTATGGTACTCCCGAAGTATGTGAACCAAGATGGGGGACACCGGAACATACTATGTGTACCATGTTAGGGATAGGCCATAAATTTCAGGTAAAAATACAACGGGAATCACTTAGCTAGTCCCCGAACTCGTAATAGCACTGAAATAAGGAAAATTGGGATAAAATTATGGCCCAACCCTAACCTGGTACACATACTATGTTCCAGTGTTCGCCATCTTGGTTCAAATACTTCGGCAGTACCTTTTGTATTTGTCTGTTGGAATTATTAGTCAAGCTAATTCTCTTTTAATTACTATCAAACCGTTGGAAGCCTGAAATTTCAAATCATGGGAGTCATGGCTTTGAAAAAAATGACTACAGCTCCAATATGAATATAAACATATAGAACTTTGTCTTCAGAGTCTCGGGCTATCAGATAAAAAAAAGTAGAGATCAAAAGTGCATAAGCGCGTGAATAGGGCGCTTTTGAATTTGTCGCGTATATCGTCAACACGACAAAGATCAATGAAAAGAGAGTGCATTAGCGCGTAACTGAAAAATACAACAACAGAATCGGTTAAAAATAATAGTGCGCTTTTTTGCTTAACTGTCGAACGGAGACGCAGGGTTGCGATTTTCTTACTCGTCTTATTGGACGAATACACGGAAAAACCCCTTTTTTTGGTGCCAAAAACAGGCCTAGTCTTATGGGCCGGGTAGTCTTATTCGCCGGAAAATACGGTACTATATTTTAAAATGACCAGAAACTTCAAGGTTTGGTGTTACTTTGCCAAACCCAAGTTAAAACAGCATGAATGAAGTTGTGGGTTTAAATTTGATACTTGTTGCTTCAAATAAAGCCATCCCAAAAGATTTTTGGTAATTCAGTCAAACAAGGTTAAAAACTGTAGCATGCATCTACTGCATTCCGATTTTCAATAAGTTTATTTTCAAATTTTTTTACTTCATTTTCCAACTAGTTTGAAAAAGAGAATGAACTCAGAATGGAGCGGGAGCAGGTAAATAACATCATTTTCAACTATATTCCATGTTTTTATTTTATAAGTATGACTATCATTTTGTACCCAAGCTCGAAACCTTCTTGATTATCGCACACTTTTGGGCATAATATATATCCAATGCACCACTTTAAGGATTGCTTCTCAGCATTACCACATGGTTAATTTAAAATTAAGTTCGCTCAACCTCAACCATGTCTATATCCTAGATCAGCGTTTCCCAAACTGTGTTCCGCGGGCGTCTTCTGAGTGTTCCGCAGAAAGAGAACAAAATTTCGACTAAATTGGTCACCATAGCGATCACAGGATCCTAAAGTTGTCGCCCAACTTGCGACCGTTCAATATTGTTTCACAGTCGTCCAAAGTGGACTAACTTCTTGAGGGTAGTGTCATTTTCGTTAACCATCAGCCTAGATTTTTGACAGTCAAGTTCATTATCCAGTTTACAGTGATCTTTTTGGTTTTGCTATAGGCAAACATGTAGGCCTAAAGAATAAAGACAAGAGAGTCAACTCTTTGTTCTTCATATCTGCCTGGTTTTGATTTGGAATGCTCTGTTAAATACCATTTGAGCATTTGGCTATACCAGTGCACCGTGGTGCATCCCTTGGGAACCATTTTTCATTGTCAATTTTACACTTTCATTTTTTGGTGTTCCGCGAGGCGAAATAAGAAGTCTAAGTGCCTCGTGGCCATAAAAGTTTGGGAAACGCTGTCCTAGATCAACTGTTCCTAACCTGTTAACTGTTAAGGTATTCTTATAAAAGATCTGGATTGTGTGCAATCTCAGCACTCCACTGTATTATAATATGAAAATTTAATGAATTCTGTTTTCGGTTCAGGCATACAGATGCATCAAAGAAACCGACGACTGGGGGAGATTTGTGCGAGATGAGATGGGAATATCAAGAAAAAAGCAACGCAGAATAATCGGTCAAAGTAGATTGATTGATAAAAAAATCAAAATGGAAATTCTAAAATTATGGAAAAACGATAATGGTAATCAGAAAGCGTTTTCAAATTGAAATTTCTCAAGATCAGGTTATGACAAATTTTAATCTATTCAAGCCCTGTAGCTGTAGGTTACAAAACATATAAAGGTAGGTGGCTGCTAATACAGAGCCTTTTCATATGATATTATACACACACACATAAGTTGCACTTAATGGAACTAAAAATTGTGTCAACCTCAGTGCAGGAATCTATTTATTAACATGAAAAATAAAGATAATACTCAGTGCCGCAGGTAGAGAATGCGATGTTTTGAAACCCATTACCTCCCCAAATATAGTTGCTCATTGGTCGCCAAATGGTTCAGCATTGCATATCTAATTCATTGCACATCGGGATGGGGTTTCAAAACATTGAATCCTCTACCCGCAGCTAGGGATGCCACTTTTGGATTTACGAATCGGATCGATTCGAATCGCATCTTTTCCGAATCGATTCGAACCAGATTTACGTGATTCGGATTAATAGATTAGACTTTTTTACTTATCTGCCGTCATTTGTTTCAAGTTCGGCACAACAGACTCTTTTACGTATCACTCGAGATGATGTGTGGCGTAATTTCCACTAAACTGCGAGTTCAGTTTTCCACTGAATAGCTCAAGTTCCTATTATGCGCGAATTTAAATGGATCGTATACCTGAAAATTTGTGACAATTTTGATGAAAATTTTCAACAGCACACCTGCGCTGCAACTAAGTTATTGTACGCCCGGGCCTGATTGGATAAGGAATCAGCTACCGACGTCTAGATAATATTTAATTTTGATTGAAATTTAATTTAAACTTTGTTCTGAGTGAAATATTTCGCGTACATTTGAAGAGAACTATTTCTGAATGAGTTCATCGGCCGGCAATGTTAATTGAAAATCATGTTTCTCATTCTAAAAGATATATTTATTTTGTTTGAGTTTGTCAAGTTTCCACTCGAGTGGCGGTAAAAGAAATCAGGGGGGCATAATGTGATAGTACATACATGTCTTTTTTCAGCTTTTACAAAAAAAAAAGTAGTATTTACTTTCAATTTTGTTAGCGCGATACAAGCGGGAATAAAACACTTCGTATAATTTCTAGCAAATTTCATAACGGACAGGTGGGAGTAAATAATACTTGAGGAATAGCAACTTGTGCACTGTTTTACATCAACACGTGCCAAATTTCATACCAGACCAAGAATACTGTGCGAATGTCGTCTTACTTTAGCCCCAGCGGCCATGTTTGATCGAGATATAGCTTCGACCAATTATCGCTGTCAGCGCGGCGTCCATTATGCACATTTGGACTTTCTGAATTACGAAATTAAACATAGTCCATGATAATAATGAAGCCCGAGTTAGCCAATAACGCTGTTAGCCACAAATAATATTGTCTCTAATATTTATGGAAATTTGTGTTCGCAATCGTAGTCGGGTGAAGGATTGTTTTAATTTAATCGTGGTTAATTTCATCGTCTTCAATCATATTCTTGCAAGCATTTCCCATTTATAGTAATTCAGATGCAATTAAAATGTTTTTGCCGTAACACTCTATGCTGCCAGCATAAATATAGAATATTGTACTAAAATTTTGAAGATAAAGAATCCGTAATAAGGCCGGCCTTAATTCAATATAACAAGAAATGAAATACCACAGTCACACATTATACTGACGTGGGACTAGGGAAAACAGTGCTGTTACTGTGTTTAGACATAACAGAACAACTGTTCCCTGCTTATTTTCTCATATGAATTTAGTCAAATTGCCTCGGTCCTGATACAAGTATAACACAATAATAACTCAGTATTGTAAGACTCACAGATAAGTTGCAACAGCAAGTTTTCCATCAACGCATTTATTGTTGATATCTATGACCTACATATTTTTTATCATGATGGAAATAAGTGTGGCTTATTCACTGAAAAACCCTTATCATCCTTGCTATATAGCGTATTCCATTTTTGAGTTTTTCTCTTCTAGATTTGAGCTTTTTTGTGATTTTGAGCAAACATACGCATGCAAGAAAAAAAAGCTTAATGAAATCAGATTCGGAAAGATTCGATTCGAAAATTTTTGATTCAAGATTCGATTCGAAAAAAAATGTATCCAGAAGTGGCAACCCAGCACAAATATATGTCATACAATGCCCAAATAATGTAGGTCATCGCACCTAGTTACTAACTTTGCCAATCATTCAAACAAGTAAAGTAAACACAAAGTATTACAGCAAACCAGATTAAATAAGTAAAATTAACATTTCAGCGAAGACTCAAGATAAAGAGTCTCTCAGAGAAGAGCTACTCGAACTTGCGGGGAATTTTATAGGAAGAACAGCAAAAAGTAAGTTTCCCTGCCCTAGCAGACCAGCAACAATAAGTAGAAATAGGGAGTGACTTCCAAAAAACGTAACTGAGAGTAAAAATCTGTACCTGCATAGAAGTAGAATATGCATAACAGAGCAGTTCAGAATTCAGATAATGAACGTTCTAATAAGTGGGTAGGCTTTGAAAATATTTGTGAACGTATGTGTCAATAATGTAGTACAAAAAAGTTTGAATGATATTTTAGCAATGTTAAAGTCAAGTATGGTGAACGTGGGGACATCTCCTATGGCAGTGGTTCCCAAACTTTTCGTTCCTGCTCACCAAATTAATAAATTATCAGGGAAAATACTCGATGCACTTACAGTCTTACACGAACAAAAAATTGCAATTAAAACTCAAGTTTGTGATCGTTGATGTGTACGTACGTAATTACTTATCGATTTCAATCGGTAAGTATGTTGATGGGTATTTGCCTGTTTGATGCACGCGATATCTCACGGAAGCGAGATTGAATATGCTCCAGATTTTGCATGTGCATTCATATTACGCCGGATCAGAAGCCTATTGATTTTAGATGAATTATGTCCTATAATTAGCGAGTTATTAATTAATTAGTGATGGGACACAAGGTGTCACTATGGAGTAAGAGCGCTGTTTTGGGATCCCCTAACTTCCGATCAATAAGTCTTCAGTCTCTGACCGATATTCTCTTTTAATGTGGGATTAAGGAATAATAAGGGCAAAAGCCAAAAGATCAACTATTCTTCCCCATCTCTGTCCAATTTTCTATTGAAATACCAAAAAACACCATGTTTGCTAAACTCTGCTCAGAAGATAACTAAAAATTGCAGCAAGCAGCGTCTACCGCTATTTTTATGTAACAATATAGGCATACACTATGTAACAGAAAGTATACGAGATTAAAGGTTGATAAATGAATGAATTTATTGATTGATATACACAGCATTTAAAATAAGAAACGATAGAATTTAATAATTTACCATTATAAAAAATAAAATATTCAGTCAGTTATTTTTTTTGTTGAACACAATTTTATTAATGTTGTTGGGGTGCGGTCTTACGACATGCTTGTATTTAAAATTATAATGTTTTTTGTATTACAATCTTACTAATATCTCAGTTTTATTGAACTGAAACTGAATTTCAGGTGGTGAATTCAGAAATCGCAACTTCAAGCTCGTCAGTAGCATTGTTGCAGCAGCTATTCCAGACGAAGACTGGTTGGAATTTTCTCGTACGAAATTGAAGCTCAGAGACAAAGATATAGAAAACATCATCGGGAGACATGGAGAGTTCAGTGATGAGTTCAAGTATCAGCTGATCAAGAAATTACAGCAAGAGGTAGGTAGCAAGCAAACTCTACAAAAATTTTGATTTTATTTGTAAAGCAGAGAACTTCATTTTCATAAGAATTTCATTTTGCATAAAAGCATTTTTTTATGGTACTCCCGAAGTATGTGAACCAAGATGGGGGACACCGGAACATAGTATGTGTACCATGTTAGGCATAGGCCATAAATTTCAGGTGAAAATACAACGGGAATCACTTAGCTAGTCCCCGAACTCCTAATAGCACTGAAATAAGGAAAATTGGGATAAAATTATGGCCCAACCCTAACCTGGTACACATACTATGTTCCAGTGTTCGCCATCTTGGTTCAAATACTTCGGCAGTACCTTTTGTATTTGTCTGTTGGAATTATTAGTCAAGCTAATTCTCTTTTAATTACTATCAAACCGTTGGAAGCCTGAAATTTCAAATCATGGGAGTCATGGCTTTGAAAAAAATGACTACAGCTCCAATATGAATATAAACATATAGAACTTTGTCTTCAGAGTCTCAGGCTATCAGATAAAAAAAAGTAGAGAACAAATAATCAACCAGGAGTATTTGTAACTTGGCTGACCGTTTCAACCTCCCCCCTTATACTAATTTCTAATACAAGACTGCAGTTGCTTACCGTAGTTTGAAGATTTTTCCGAAATTTGCAACCTGAATACTACTTTTTCTTTAATACTACTTTAACTATCAAAAATTAGTTAGGTGATTTTAGTTTGAATCTTGAGCTAGAAGAATGCATCAAGGTTAAAAATTGAAATCCATATATATGTGACCCTTCATACTATTTACAGGAAATGGAAGACCCAAGCTGGCAGAAGTGGGAACTACAAGATGATGAAAATAGTTCCGACATACCATATGAAAAATAAAAAGTCATTTGAGACAATTGTGGAATAATTATGCCACAAACTTGAGTTATCTCTATATATATAAATTGAAACAATAATTTTGATGATATATGATGAATGGATTTACGAATGCATTTAGCATATATTCCAACACTTTGAACAAAATGTTAGATCTTATAAGTAACACTAATTAATGCATCTATTCAATTGTTATTCCATGCCTGAAGATTTCTTGTATATTACAACAATTTGTTGACTTTATCTTGTTTGACATATCCTATACAGTTATCTAATTGGTAATCGCAATTTGCTTCATCAATAACACTTTGTTTTAATGTCTAGCTTTGATTGTTCTAATGCCCAAACATTTCTAATTTTATGTTTTCGAAGTTTATCCGTTTCATGATTGACACTTAAAATTTTTGAAACTGTAAATATTCCAGAAGCTGAGTTTTCAAACTTTTCATAATTCTCAAATCTCTCACGAAAATGATCACAAGCGGCAATGCAGGGATTTCAGAATGGTTCAAAATTAAATATATTCAATATTACAAATTCCCGATTCTAAAAAATATGATAATAATAAAAACAGTATGATAAAAAAGGCCTTCATTCAAATGATTCAGTTTATGAAATATGTACGATTCAGACAAATATCCAATTTTACTGTTTATATCAACTTCCTGGCATTTACAAATTTAAATTCATCAATATTAGTTTTCATTTTAGTTCTTTATTGGATTTGACCAAGAATGTATTCACAATTCCAGCACTCCATACCATACTAATAATACATTATTTAGATTTGGACATCCCTGCTGCAGAACCCTGCTGTGAAATTGACTCAATTCCTGCATGATTTTTTGTTGCTCTGCATAGCTAGTATAGACTTATAATAACACCCTAAAACAGTGGTTCTCAAACTATTTGAGTCACGCCCCCTTTTTGAAAATTTGTCAAGTCTCGTCAAGTCTTGTCCCACCTCAAAAATAACCAGTTAACAACAAGCTACAAATAATGAATATAGTAAGGAAAAGGGATGTTTTATTTAAGGAACACATTAAAAAAATGCGAAGATGAAACCTAAATATTCAAAATAGGGTGGACAAGATCAAATTTAACAAATATTTTTATTTTTAATTAGCTTCATGCCACCTCAAAAAATCGGTTACTCCCGAAGTATGGTTATCAGGTTAGGGTTAGGCCATAATTTTATTCTGATTTCCTTATTTTAGTTATATTACATGTTCAAGGACTGCCTGTGTTAGCCAAGCGAGCATCCCCCTGCCATAGGTTTCAGAAAAATTGTCTACGTCCCCTTTGTTGGGCGCACCCCACCGTTTGAGAACCACTGCTCTAGAATCTTCTCACCAATTAGTACTGTTCAATAAGTCAAAAACTAATACTGATTATGTGTATATTAATAGGCCTATATTGGTATAGGTTTTAGATTCAGAATTTATAATACCTGGAAAAGCTTATAGTACAATGTCAGATAATATAGGTGATGATTTATATATTATATTTATTTTTATTCATTTTATAATCATAACAAGACTTCAAAATGAATACTTAGGTGTTGGGCCATGTAGAACAAACTATCAAAGCACAAACACCATTTTAACTTGTGAAAATCAAATTTGGTTTTTTTGATATGGTATGGACTTGTGTACAGCATGTACAACACATTATAAATGTTGAAAATCACTTGAAAATTGGGTGAGACGAACAAGGCCTGCAAATTTGAATTCTGAAAATGTTGATCAATTTTTTTCTACCATTTTTTGAAGTTTCAGTTATATTTTTAGGGACGTCAAGGATTCAACTCAATTCCTTCGATGAGGAGGGGCACAGAAGGATCAGGAGAGGTGCACAATTTTTTAATTATTTAAAAAAAATTTCTAAACATTAGTATTAGGGCCCGACCGATATATCGGCCATGTTTTTCACAAATTTCGAACTATCGGTTTCGGCTAATTTTACCGATATATATCGGCCAATCACGTGACTGCCAAAGTGTCCAAATTTCGCCGGGAAAGCAGTTTTATCGCTTGTTTAATTGAGAGCGGTTCTGCCTAATACTCTTTTTCTTGGTTACTTCTATTTCTCTCTTATCAAAAAGCGGCTTTTGACTGTGTCTCTCTTATCCAAAACGGACGTATGGCACGGGATTTAACACTTTGTAAGCGAGTTTGCGAGTGTGGTGGCTTGCAAATTGAAGCGAGAGAAACGCGTGAACCTCTTATTTGTGTCAAATAATATACGTTGATTAATAAAGATTTCGTTTGACTAAGTTTCTCTTATCCAAAACGGACGTTCGGCGGCACAGGATTTAACACTTCGTAAGCGAGTTTGCGAGCGTGATGGCTGGCAAATTGAAGCGAGAGAAACGCGTGAGCCCCTTATTTGTGTCAAATAATTTACGTTGGTTTAATATAGAATTCTTTTGACTATGTTTCGCTTATCCAAAACGGACGTATGGCACGCGATTTAACTCTTTGTAAGCGAGCGTGGTGGCCTTGCAAATTGAAACGAGAGAAACATTTGAACGATTTATTCGTGTCAAATAATATAGGTTGATTAATAAAGAATTCTCGCCGTTTCCACGGCCTTGGATTTCCCTTGCGCTTTGGTCGTTCAAGGCGCGATTCAACTTCTTGTATTGATTAGCAATAGATGGCTGGTTCTAGCGGTCAGAGTAAAGTATGGCAATAAGATGGGTATAATTTGTAGAGCCATTTCAAAGCAAAACACAAGAGCAAGTATGATTGGAGCCAATGCAGAAAAGCATTGGAGCCAATGCAGAAAAACACTGCTCAACTACATCTGAGACTGTTGAACTGGAGCTATTGAGATTCATAAGCTTCCTGCCCTTACATAATGTGTTCTTTCTCGCCATGCACACAATTGCATGAGTTCAACATTTTAATTCTTTTGCACGAAAAACACAATATTCTCAAGAGTGTTGCTTGTTACTTGTAGCCATATTTGTAGGTGAGGAAACATCGGTATCGGCTTAGTGTTAGGAAACTATCGGTATCGGTTCAAAAAGGCAGTACCTAATTAGTATAAATAAAGACTGTAAATTGTTATGATTGACGTTATCAATTCTCATATTTCCATATTAACAATTCAAAGATTAAAATTATGTGTCTTATGACAAAAGTCACTACTTCTAACAAGTATGTGAACCAAGATGGTGGACACCGGAATGTAATATGTATACCAGGTTAGGGTTAGGCCATAATTTGATTCCAATTTTCCTTATTCTAGTTCTATTACGAGTTCTGGGACTAGCCAAGTGACTCCCGTAGTATTTGTACCTGAAATTATGAATATGGACTAACCCTAACCTGGTACACATACTACGTTACAGTGTCTGCCATCTCGGTTTGCATACTTAGCGAGCCCAGAAGTCGGCTGTAAACGAACCCTACTGCTAACAGTCATATATAATTTATGGACAAAGTAAAATATTCTTTCCTTCAGAGATACAAATCTTTGCGGATCAAATTGATCCACAAACATTTCTAGAATTTGCTCGGCTGTTTTTGGAGATTCCTGACAGAATCATTGACAAAATTTTGCGGCAAAATATTACCAAGGAGGATTTATATCGAATGTTGAGAGAATCATATGATACAAGTAAACATAAATACAAGTCAAAAGTCACATACTGTATTCTTAATACAACCTCAAATAACAGTTTTGTAAATATTGAAAAACACCTGACTTTCAGATATCCCCACTTCAATTTGTGGGATAAAAATGTTAGTAGATGCATCTCTCTGGTGGTAAACTAAATCTTGTTATTATTACAATTATTAAATGTACTGGTGGTACTCGTCAATTTAACCTATGCTATTCATAAATAAATTTCAAGAGACAAGTAATTCTTGTACTTTTCTTGCTCCTTTTTAAAAATAATTTTGTCTAATATTCAGCATTAAACCATCTGATTTCATTCAGATAGCGAATGGTTCATAGCAATAGTTAGAAAATATAGACCAAGAATCAAATCTGATACATATCTGAAAATAGATCGATGTATCAGACAGGATAGGAATGAGATTCCAGGTAAGTTGACCTACATAGCATAAATTTATAGCAAAGCGACAGGTGATTGGAAATTTTAGGTACAATCACGATCAAACAAAATCTAATAAATTTTTATTATTTTTATAGAAGTAATAAACATATGTATGGGTTCTCACAGGGTGGGTATGACCATAATAAGACTGTGAATGTTCAAAATTCTTGCTACTAAAGATAAAAATAACGCTTACCAGAGAAGCATAACAAACACTGGATAATTCCATTCAGTTGATGACTGAATTTAATCCCATTATCTTTCATTCATAATCATGTAGTAAGAAGTATATATATATATATCCATTCCCATTTGCAGTATAATCCCAAAATCTACTTCCATTACTTTTGAACCTTTTTTATTGACTAGCAAGTTATTACGGTATGTTTGAACCTGTTCAGTACAATATCTGCATATTTTTTTATCGCCTAGCAACCTAGGAAATATGATAAAATTAAAAAATATCAATTTGAAATAAATAATAATTATGCCTTTTCACAACAGAAAATCTTCTTGTCGAAGTTATATATAAGCTCATCAAAGCGATTCCAATAAAGGAGAGGCGTAACTTCGCGGAAAACGAAATTGGAATCCGCAATCAGGAGCACAGAAACATACAGGATGTGCAGATTACCAGTGATCTGAAACTGCATTTCCTGGAATGGTGGTGGGAAAACATAGGTAAAAACAGATATCACTTTCATAGTATCAGATAATTTTAAACCATAATAATAGCTTGAAACTATCAGCATTTGAATCATGCGGAATACTCGGCAATCATGGTGACCTACATGATTTGTTTAATGTAGAGAAAAATTTAATTACCGGTATGTCTCACAAAATGAATCAATTCTTTCCTTAGGGCAACGGGAACAAAATGCCATAGCTGAGCTGAGAAACAGGGCAAATGATGGTGGCTACCTGATGCAGCAAAGTGAGTTAAATACAATTTATTGTCATCTTACAAATACTGTAAAGCAGTGGTTCTCAACCTTTTTCAGTTCGCAAACCTGTAAAAATTTCAAAACAAATTTTGTGGACCGGCGAACCTCCATAATTAACCAAAAATGTCATGAACACAAAACATAATCAAAAAATGCAATTACGACAAATGTAGGCGGTGCAAAAGAAGACAAACCAATTTAATGAGAAATTTTCTTCACGGCTATTACCTCGCTTTCTGGGCCCAATTTTATATCTTTAATGGGTGGCTATTTTTTTTTGGTCGGCTTATTTTTCGCGCAAGTCTTCCCAAACATGATTTGTGTAAACTTTATATCTGGATTGATATATTTTATAGCGTATTAGGCACCAAAGTGTCTACCAACCACGCTATTCAATTACCTTTGCCAGCATTAGTCTTATTCTTTAAAAAAAACCTGGCCGGTCAGATGAAGCACTTCCTGTTCGGGCCTGGTATCAGTACTTCAAAATGAAACGGCCACCACGAGATAAAGTGATTGATTTATGACCCCTCGGTTTTGCCGATTCAGGGTAGACTTATTAGCCGTAAAATATATGTGAAGTTATTTTACAATCACTCTTGACCTCTCTTATTTTACTTTTCTAGGTCATGTTCTCATTCAGGAGCAGTACTTTGAATAACGCAATGCCAACCAATAAAAACTTTTCACAACTTGAACGCTTTTCTACCAATTGTGAAATAGAATTTAAAATTTGTTGTTGTGTACTGTGTAGTATTATCTTAACTATTTTCGAAATAAGTTGTTATTGCCAGTGAATTTCTATTGATATTCTGTGTATTGTTTCTTAGTAAATTAATCACAACCAACGGGATTTTTTTCTGAATTTCAATGAGTAATGATTTGTTGTTTTGTAATGTGTAGTATTATCTTAACTATTTTCGAAATAAGTTGTTATTGCCAGTGAATTTCTATTGATATTCTGTGTATTGTTTCTTAGTAAATTAATCACAACCAACGGGATTTTTTTATGAATTTCAATGAGTAATAATTTGTTGTTGTGTACTGTGTAGTATTATCTTAACTATTTTCGAAATAAGTTGTTATTGCCAGTGAATTTCTATTGATATTCTGTGTATTGTTTCTTAGTAAATTAATCACAACCAACGTGATTTTTTTATGAATTTCAATTAGTAATGACTAATGATCAGCCATAATAATAAATTCTCATTTTTACTTTTAAAATAGCCCAACAATGGCTTTACCATTTCTAGCGAGGGCATGCATGCGGCTTTCCCACCATTTATTATAATATAACTTTTATGAATTGTGTAAGCCTGCAACCTAACTCTTTGAATAACTTTAAACATTTAAATACTGTGCCTTGAACAACAATCTCCAATATTTCACTGTTTTGTTTTTCATAGGGCAAGTCTTTTTAATCCGGTTTATGTTGTGATGTTGTGATTTGATATAATTTCTAATTTAAACAGTATATATTTGAAAATTCTTATTATTTCTCGTAACTAGTGGTTCATTTTTCACCCAAATTATTTAGTATCAAATACCCTCGACCTTGCATATAAGCTGAGTTAGAAAAAAAAAAGTTGCCAAACTAAGGTCGGCTTATACCAGTTAACTCTGAGTATGATCCCACTAATAATAATAGTAAGTATGAATTTAAGGGATTCCAAGACACTTCTTACCCCCATTAGTAAAATTAAAACATAATATTAATGGTTATCATTTTTATTGATTCCCTTCTGTCACCATTTGCGGTGATAGATGCGTTCGTAGGGCCAGCCTTTATGCAAAGATATACGGTAGTTACCCAGTATCAAATATTATTATAGCAAGTACAATTATGCGTAAATGTATTCTTGATCTGCGATTTGCTAACTTGTTGTAGCGTTTATATTCTTCAAAAATTTAGCGGTGATAGTGATAAACAGCTTGATTCCATAAACAATATTTTTGTTTTGAAGAGCCATGTATGAGTATGCCACAGTTCTCCAATTGCAAGAATAGCCCCCGCATTAAAAGACATCATTTATACTGTTATAACAGTGACTGCGGTCCCTCTTTCTCGAGACAGTCTGGGCCTTCATATCAGCAAACTAGTACTGTGCAATAAAATAAAGGAAGCGCAATGTAAAACTTCACCATTGGTAACTCAGAAAAAAAGAGTGAATGTTTGTTTTATTAAACCAAATGTTGGGACATCTTGAAATCGGAGAACTGTGCTCTGGCCCCTAACATGTGTTGATATTTTCAATAATATATTTTCTGGAATACATAACATTCAATTTGATTTATCAGAATGTTATTTCTATAAAAATATACTGTACATCTAAATGAAGTACAATTTGATCCCAACCAAAGCGGATAACAATAAATAGCAAAACTGACTAATCCCATAGCCATACCTAATATGAACTGGTAACTGGATAGGAGGTTGGTTGGATATGATCGCATTGATGGATATGGTTTGAATAGCTTTTCCTTTCATCCGATATAAATATGTGAATTCCATCTTATTTCAGCAAATATGGGCATATTTAAAATATTATGTAAATATATTGATAATACAGTACCGAAAAACAGTAGGGCCCAGTTTGCAAATTCCAAGAATGTCCCGTCATTTGGTTCAATAATCATTAGGTTCTCACAAACGAAGGGCCATAACGCACCATGCTTGTCAATAAAAAACTAAATTAATCGCGCCCGCAGCATGCAGACATGACCAAAATTGATTGGTTCATCGGCAAATTGGGATTCTCTGGAAAGAGACAATGTCACTCAATCTGTAATGAGTGCCAAAGTGTAATATTTATTCTGATTCCAGGGTTCTCGTATTCCATACTTCTGTACTTCCACCCTTGGCTAACAGTCTGCCAGTGGTTTCTATGATTTATGTTCACGACATACAATTTTTTATCTAAGCCAGGGTGGTCCAAGGTTGAGGGCTCCGCGGGCCACAAAATTATTTTTGCATTGTTGGCGGGCCACAATAGTGCCAAGAATTGGTAAACAGCGATGTAACAATATTCCAGAAGATTTTTCTAATTTATTTTATTACAAAACAACACAAACTCGGCCTACTTGTCAGCGGCAACCCTAAAGCGTTAGCATAGCGTTGATGATCAGATGATTCCTGAGACTGATATTTTGGATACTCAATATTGAATCAGTTTTCTATTGTAGGTACGGTACCGGTAACGTACCGATACCAGTACCGTAGCGATACCGTTAAGCAGTGCAGGTACCGGCCCCAGACTGGATTCCATGGCAAGTGCACGTCCGAGTACGGTACTGGAGTATGATAGTGCTCCCTAAAACTGCATGTGAGCGAATTCTATTTTGCAGGGAAAATTGTGATTGTTCACCATTGTACAGTTATATCCAGTATATCTGTTAGTCTAACGGTTAAAAAGGGGTGGAATAAAACAGCCACCAATAACAGAAAAAACAGTACCGGTACCGTACCGTACTAACAAGTTACAATATTTCGATATTACCGTACCGGTACAGGAAACAGCTACCATACTAACATTACCGGTACCGGTACGTTACTTACCCCGGTACAGTACAAATTGACCCAAACTCATGCCGATTTCTAACTTTATTAAAGGCGTCTCTGTTGAAACTTGAGGCCTTTTTCTTCCTATTTTTGGATATATTTCAATGCCGATCGGAATTTTCGTATAGGATTTTTTTCCTGGCCTAGACTAGTTACGAAATTGTCCATCACAAAGTTCCGTTGGTGCAGTTCAATTGACCTTTAACCCATGCAAATGGATCGCCGCCGTCGTTTGCTAGACAGACGGAACTTCGCGTCTAGGCATCTTTTTTTTTTTTGCCAAATGATTTCCAATGCTAAAACGGAATTTTTGTATCGAGAATTTAGAAGCCAATCATTATATTTTAAATTTATATTTTTTTGTCAAGTGGAATATCAGGTTCGGAATACAATTGCATTATTTGAATTCCGTTTAGGTGGAGAAAAATAACAGTTCTTGGTTCCAGGCGACACATAGGTTGGGCGCGGCGGTGTGGCTCATCGGGCTAAGCGTTAGGAATACGCTCGCCACCACATCTCTGATTACCCTGAGTGGGTTCGCAGGTTCGAATCCCATGCGGGGTAGTTATGTGCGAGAGGATTGCTGGACTCCTCGCCGCAGAAGGGCGGTTCACCATTCCTTCACCATCAAGTTCATGCTTCCGAAAAACAAATAACTAAAACTAATCCCATACCCGACATGGAGTGGTAACCTGACGAGAGGCCGTGGTTCGCCATATGGATAAGCCGTCTGGTCGGCTTTCCTCTTCCCCGGGATAAATCTGTAAATCCTATCCTAAATCCTAACTTTCATTCCGACATAATGTGCGCTTGACAAAATGTCCAAATCACAAGCAGGCCAAGTGATATTTTTGGAATTGAATTCCAGAGTTAATATGGAGTTACCGTATGTCCCACCGAATAAGTCGCTTTTCTTGACACAAATTTTTGGCCTGATTTCGGGAGGATCGTCTTATTGGGCGAGTATAGTAGTTTTCTTTTTTTTCGGGTTTATTATCATTCAATTTCAACCATGAAATCACTAGGGATGCGACAAGATTCGAACTAGTGCTCATATTCGTAGCCGAATCTTTCTTAATTTGATACTCGGATTTGGCCTAAGCCTTTGATGATTTTACCCGAGTACGTGATGTCATACGTCACGCGATAGTCAATCGCAGACTGATTGCGCATTCGACGAGATATTCAACATTTTCGTTCTGTTTTGCCACGAGAGTGTCCGGCCGATTTTCTCACCCTGTATCTCTCTTTTATCCAACTATCTAACAGGGGGCTTGCCAAGTGAAGGTAAAAGAGTGCGTCAAAACTTCAATTCACGACAACGTTAAGACGTTTAACAAACTAAAAAGCATGCGTCATTCACAGCAAAATTACGCGGTTACAAGAAGCTTACCAGTCGCCTCCCTTTGCCTGCCGGTGTTTGGTGAATATTTTGCTAGTCCTATTTCGAACATCTACTAATCATCGACAATTAATCTGTAGTCAGAGAGTACCCACATTTAGGAATAAAATACAAAAATCGTAAAAATTAATTTTTTTTTAAGTGCAACTCGCGGATGTCCGTGGCGTTATAATCGTCTACAGTTTTACACGCTCGCATGTAGCGCCGATCAAATGTTAATCAAGTCTAATTTTTATTGCCATTCAATGAGTATTTACATAATGATCATAATCAATGAGTATTGCCATAATTATTGGTGGGCAAATCGATTTTTTCCAATCGAATTATTCGAATATTTTCAACGAATGCGGGATTGTGAAATATTGTCAAAACTAATTTCGAAATTTACTAGAAGACTGTAAACTCGGTAACAACATGACGTTTTTATTTCATAATTTTTTCATAATCGCTGATTATTTTTTATCGCCGCGAGCGTTTTGGCGGCCGACATACCAGTTAATGCTGGTAAACTATTGAAGCACTTCGTTGTTAACAAGTAAATATTGATTCTCACGCAACAGCGTAAATCGTTGTTTGGTTTTTATATTTCTGACAAAATTGTGAGTTCACATCGGCGAAGATGTTAAAGAGAAACAACTAGCGACGGGGCCTGACGCGACTGTTTCCCCAGTTTATAATGATATATGTATAATAATTGATGTGAAGTATATTCAATTCATCTTTGAAATAAATTTTTACAACGTGGGATTTTATCGCAGACTTGAAGGTTTTTTCTTTGGTGATATCCTCAAAATAATGAGTGGCAGCATTGCGATGGAGCGGGATAAGTGTTGCAGCAACAGCTCAGCCATGTTTTTAAATAGCAAAAAAACGAACCAAAACAATATTTAATCGTACGTGTTCATGTCCATGGATTGTCGTGGTATTTGGAGTAGTGATACTATTTATATTCACTATTAAATTAATTAGGCAACCCACTTCTATTGAGGTGTTGAAGATGAATGTTTGATATATACACTTTATATGCATATGTATCTTCCTCAATTAAATTGTAGTGTCCGGGCTTTTATAGCAGATCTTGTGATTTTTATACCGGCGATAACGAATTTCGCCTCACTTTACCCGGTGTGGCGCATCGTGCTAAGCGTTAGGAATACGCTCGCCACGTCACTTCTGATTACCCTGCGTGGGTTCACAGGCTCGAATCTCATCCGGGGATAGATATGTGCAAGAAGATTGCTGGACTGCTAGCCGTCATAGGGTGGTTCACGTAACCCCTGGTCGGTTCCTTCCCCATTAAGTCCATGCTTCTGGCAACAAATAACTGGCTAAATGATTCTATACCCGACATTGACTGGTAACCGGACGAGAGGCCGTGGTTTGGCATATGATTAAGCCACCTTATCGGCAACGTTCCCTTTAAGCTGGGCGGCCGCGAAGCTGGCCGGGAATCCCTGTGAATTACTTTCATTCTGCCACACACTGCATAAGTATTAAAATGTTGTGTTCTTTTCTATTTTTCCGCGCAGACCTTTTTTTGAGCTCACCTGGCCTTCTATTCCGCGCAACTAAGCAAGCTCTTACAGGGAATGTTGCTTATCGGCTTTCCTCTCCCCGGGTAAATATGTAAATCTTATGCTATCCAATCACAATAGCAAAAATATGTACATATTTTTTCATTTTCATTACATAATACACATACCGATAGTTCTTTTTCATCATCAAAGCAATATTTCAATTTACCGTTACTTCTGTAGTATGTGAACTAAGATGGCGGACACCGGAAGGTAGTATGTGTACCAGGTTAGGGTTCGGCCATAATTTGAGTGGAAGAGGTGACTTCTATACAGCCCATGGGCCCGGGCCGCGGCCCATCGAATTGGGCCTTGGCCCATCAGGATATGAAGGCTTATCGTAATAAAAAAATTTGGTGGCATACCTCGATT